CCATTCTAGATAGTGCAACCAAGATTACAGATTTCTAGATCCAACCGATCGATGGATAATCGTTACCTAATGCAAATTTAATTTTCGAAAAACGTCGTCCGTGGGATTTGAACTCTAGACCTGCTGCTTGGTGGGGTGACGACTAGACCACTTCACTAGGCCGCCACACCCCCTTGTAATATAGTTGATAGCTATTTGACAATTGATAAAATTTAGAAATTTGTAATTTTAGTTATACTATTTAGAATAAAAGCTTTGGTATAATAAACCTAAAATACTAAAATAACTAAAAACCTATTTGGCAAGTTTTGAGTTAAGAAATAGTATGATCTTTGACAATACTACAGAATGACTGAATTTGGAACTAGAAACTAAGATTGAAAAACTAAGTGTTCAGATTTTAAGTAGAAAGATATACTAGCTAAACTGCTAGGCCATTAAAATCAGAAAAAAAATATATATACTTTGAAAGGAAAGAAAGACTATATAGATACTTAAAGTTTGAGTAAACCAACTCTTCCAAGTTACTAGCTAGAAGTAAGAGAAGGACTAATAAAAAATTCAGAAAAGAAAGAAAGTTCAAATATAAGTACTAAAATTGTATAAACCCAAATACAAAACAAAGAATAAGTAACAACTAACTACTAATATAAAAAGGTTATAGCTTAAGATATGGATCAGGTTATAGCAATACCCTAAAAGATAGCTTGAGATATAAACTTGATAATGGCAGTATAACAGGTACTAGTTAGAAAGAAATTACTAAATATATAGGTAAATATATGTGTAGAACATGTATTGCTTTGTTAGATTTATCTTGAGAATAAAGTATTTTTATGTAGGGTATAAAATCTATAAGTGGTACAAAGTCTAGCTATAAATAGTAAATTACATCTTGGTTAGATAAAAAATAATAGGTTGGTTGTAACCTAAGAGTTTAAATAAGTAATCTCTTTAGTTAAGTTGTAGGTATAGTAGCTAGTGTAAAATCTAGAGTAAACTACTTAAAATAGGCAACCAAAAGTTATACATGTGACTAGTTATACTCTTATTTATAAAAACCAGAGAGCTTAAATAAATAATCTTCTAGTTAGATTGCAGGTATGGCAGCTAGTATAAAACTTAGGTAAACCACTTAAATAGATAACCAAAAGTTGTATATATGACTAGTTGTACTCTTATCATAATTATTAATGTTGTTAATTGTTTAATAAAAAGCCCCTGACCATAGGGATCACCTTAACACTGAAAAAAAACTGTTTTTAATTTAATAATTAATTATCTTTATACTTATTTACCAAATTTAGGCAAATAAAAATATGTATTAGATAATTATTCATTAGTCAGTATTTGTGTACATGATATGTTTTCTGTTTTTAATTCCACCAGTTAACAAATTATTTCATACTCGGACTAAATTAAGGCAAATGAAATAATTTAGAAGATATTAGGCAATGATAAATGATTATTTATAAATAACTTGACAGATTCTATATTATCAGGGTTTTATTGTTGAGTTTGTTGATATTGAGACTTTGGCTATCAGGATTTTGTAATAAATCCCTTTCCTTGAAAGATATGATAACCAAGCATCAATTTTGGTTCAAGAGATTAAACGGCAGCATTCCCGCTTTTTATACTTAGAGATAGTGAAGCATTGTGGCTCTACATAAGCTGAATTTGATGTTATTGACTATCATTTCCTTAATTTAATGGGTAAGTATATATAAAGAATTATAATCGATAGAATAAAAAAGTAAATCATGTTTAGAATACCTTTTAAATTGCCATTATATTTAGTCATTATCACAATAAACATTTAATGATATAAAAATATATATGAGTGTCGTCAACGGAAAACCTGTCATCAGGCTTTCAATTATATTTTGTACTGGACATAATCATTAATAAATCAAATATACTGAGGCCAGTACAAAATATAATTGAAAGCCCAATGACAAGTTTTGATGGCACCCATATAATATTTGAGATAAAAGGTATCCTAAATGCAGAAAATATACATATTGTAAAAAGACAACGCGCTTAAAGTATGATGTATGGCATGTAATCCTGATATAACTGTTCAAGGATAGACTTAGAACCGTTGTATGTAAGAATCAGATTCTATTCGATGGATTATCTAACGTTAAAGAAATTGGCAGAGGCGGGTTTAGTTTTGTAAATTCAGCAAGCTGGTTGGATGGCATAAAAAGGTTGATAGTTGTGGTTATAATTACGTAAAGCGTGTGAACCATCTCAATATAACCACCTCTACGTCATAGCCATAATGTTGTGAATAGTCATTACCCTGGTAAAATGTCTGTATCTTCAGCGTTAGTAAATATTTAAATATAAATCCAGATATGTTTTGTTCGATATAAATATAAATCCGGATTCAAGTATTAACTCTATGCTCATTATCCTCCAAATGAGAATTACAGATTATGCTACTCGTCCAAAAACTCTCTGTACTAACGTAATACAAATTTTCATCGGTAAAAGTGTAATAAACAGAGTTTCATTGTTTACCGAATAATTATTCAAAAGGGTTTATTCGAAAATTCGCCGAATACGAATATGTAAGCTCTAGTTCTCTTTAGCGCTAAACTAATGATTTCTTTTTAGCGCTAAAATAAAAAATCTGATGATATATAATATAGAAACAAAATAACAAATACTGTAGGTGAGATATCGATATGCCCGGAGCGTTAATTTATAAAAAAATCTAGAACATTCGAATTTCAAATGACAAACATTGTGCGGGCGGACATTGCATTTAGTTTACCTGTACACTAAGTATCCTCCGCTTCTTTCCGGACAATAAAAATAATTGATTTAATGTACCACCTAAAAATCGAATTGGTATATCGTACTGGATGAAAAATCAAACTAGACTTTGACGATGACGATGACGATCTGGCTCCAAACCCGGTCAGCTGGATTCATCCGAACTACTTAACATCCCTAAGAATTTTCATTTTTACAGAATAGTTTGCGACCATTAGATATTCCGTATTTAAGTCAAGAAGCAGACATTAAATATTGACATACATATATTTTGATAATCAACAATATATATTTCAAAAACAGTCATGTAAAAAAAAAGAGCAATATGCTTAAATATATAATAAAAAAAAATGCAATTGAAAATTTTTTATAATTCAAGAAAACAATACGTACGTATATTTTAATTTTTGAATAGATTTGGTTCAGAAAGTATAATAAATATTTTAGTTCAAAGATTATAAAAAGAATATTGTACGTAAAAATACTTTTATATAAGGTGGTTATATATTGGATTAGAGCACACGGACCTTTTTTGCATTGGGAGTATAGAGTCGATCTCAGGATTTGTACATAGTGACCACTTCGATCATGATTGATTTGCAGAAGATTTGATTAACATGGTAGTAACCTATATTACCAAGCCACGTAGTAATAACGGAATAACATCCAATTATCCGTTATTGGAAATTGTACATATGTGCTAAGAATTTGAAAAAAAAGAGGTCGTTTTTACGCAGAAAAAAAATAAACAATGTATGTATCGAAAAATAATATCGATATATTGTATTATAATTCAATAAATTCACATGCCATCAGATAGTGAATGAGCCAATAATCCCTTTTTTTACACACTTCAAGATTGGAAAACTCGATAACGCAATTTAAAGAACCCGCACCATGCAAAAGCTCAATAATCACCACCGAATATAGCTGTACATAGCAAATATACTAATTAATAAGATGTACGAAAGTTTTGTACTTCTAACTGCATATGCGTACGTGTTGCTTGTGTGCATACTTGTTTGTATTAATGTCAATGGTCACACGAACATCTTTGCTCGGGAATACTTATAAGTGACGATTTACAATTGCACAATTTTTTTTTAGGTTTGACTTACCGACCTCTGCTCTTTCAAGAAAATAAGAAAAACCTTATTCAATCCATACTTAAATCGAAGAATTCTAATTCCCTCATTAAATATTTTATTATTTTTTTTTTTTAATAACAAAATGTCTTATCATTTATTAGCAAAATTTTCTCGTGATTTTTGTAACCTTCTCGAAAGTGCAGCATATTATGATGTAGTTATTCGTGTTGGCAATGGTGAAGATGCTAAAGAATTTCCAGCTCATTCTCTCATATTGAGAACCAGGTCTGCTTATTTTCGTGGTTGTTTGTCGGGCGACAAATGCAAAAGCGAATATGACAAAATCATTCTTAATAAGCATAATATATCTGCAACAGTTTTTGAAATTATTCTTAGGTAAGTTACTTTATTAAAAAAAATTCAAATATATAATAAAACTTTTAACGAATTTTTTTTTTATTTTTGGAAATTAGATATCTTTATAGTGGAAAAGTAGATTTTATGAATTGTGATGGGCAACAAACACTTGATTTACTTTATGCAGCCGAAGAACTTGGTCTTGTAGAAATCTTGGAATGTATTCAACGTCAAATAACTCAACATGAAGCTGAATGGATGGATAGTAATTTCATCAAACATCATCGTAAAATTTTCAGGCATGATAATTTCAAGACACTTCAAGTTTATTACATGAACAAAATTGCAACGATGCCTTCGAGTATATTCGATACACATGATAGTTTTAGCCCAGAGATATTAAGTTCACTTGATGAATGTGGGTGTATTAAATTGGATGAAGCTATCTGGGGTTACATCGTCAACTGGGCAAAACATCAAATTCCAAGATTAGGAAATAGAGTTTCTGGATGGGCAAAAGAAGATTGGGATGAATTCAAATTTACACTCTCACAATGTATTCCATGGGAAGCTGTTTTATCATTAAATTGGAATGAATTTCACGATCTTTTAGTTCCTTGTGAACCATTCTTACCATCGGATAAATTCGAATATGCACTTAGACAACAATTAAAAAAAGCTTGTGGATCATCAGTTAAAATTTCATCACCAATTTCTATTCATTTTAATGATACAATTATCAATATTTGTCATGCAACATTAATTTCAGGTTGGATTGATCACCGAGAAGAAAAACCTTATAGACCAGAAGAAATACCATATGAATTTAAATTAATTGTCCGTGGAAGACGGGATGGATTTTTACCAGATATATTTTATCAGCGATGTGAAGGAATTCAAAAAACGGTGGTAGTTTTTAAAATGAATAAAACTAATGCATTATATGGAGGATATAATCCTGTAGATTGGAAATTTGATCGTAACACCAAAGATAGTTTTATTTTCAATTTTGATGAAAATAAAGCTGAAATTACTAGACTTAATACAATTGCAATTCATAAAAAAGCGGGATATGGTCCTTGTTTTGGCACTAAAGGTTTATTATCATTCCCGAATGGAAAAAGGTCAATTTTGTGGAAAACAAGTGATAATTCGGATTCATTGACAGTTTTAGATTACGAAGTTTTTCAGATTGTGGAAAAACCTAGAAGATCTAATCTTGGATCTACATCACATCTGAGTAATGGAATATCTCATAAAAAGAGATAGTCTCTATAGGTACTGAGGTTGATTCTTATTTTTGAAGGTTTTCTAGTGATAATAGAAAAAATTGCCTTATTTTTTTTTTAATTTTTTTGAAAATGAATTGTATTAGAATTATTATTTTTTTTTCATTCTTAATTTTTTGGTTTGTATAATTTTTAGTTTTTTTTGCATTGATTTTTTTCAAAATCAAGGCTTTTTAATATAGGGTTGTCTTGTTTGATTTAAAGCTTTTTAAAATAGCTTATTTAAGAATTTTTAGTTTTATTTGATATATAAAACTAACTGGATTCTTAAAGTTTTTTTTTTTTATTGATAAAAATTTTTGTATTATTTAGATATATAGCTTGAAATATTTATTTTTTTATACTGTAAATGAATTTAGCCATTAGTAAAAACGTTTTAAATTTAGATATTTATCAATATAATAGAATTTTATAGCTTATTTTCCGGCTAAACTATAAATAAATAAATTTTAACTTTAATTGAATTAAAATTGTGTATAATAATTTCATATCAATGAAAAAATACGATAATTTTTTCTAAAATATTATGTATATAGTATATAATCATTTGGGTTTATTTTTTAAAATATAAATATCGATACATATATAATTTTTTGATTATAGATATTAATTATAGTAAGTTAGCATGTCTTGTTTAAGGTTTGGCCGCTCATAAAAAGTTAACTGTCGGTTAGACCTTTTGGTTATCTGAGTATATATCCGCCTGATTCACCTGGGTGAAAGATTTATCGATTAATAAACGATTTTTATATTCAATCCTTATTTATGCGAACTAAATTATGTAAAGATAATGTTATTAACTTGAAAAGCCTATAAATGCGTTGATTTATAATTTTTATTTTCATCAAATCAAAACGTATAAAATAGAATTAAAATACTTTTTATTATCTACTAATATAATGAGACAGATGCTGTAAATATATATAAATTTGAATAGCTTATTTTACGTTAGAATAAAGATCCATGAATTTATATAGTTTATATGACCGCTTTGATTAATAACAAAAGATACTTATTAAATTAACAATCCAAATATTATCTTCAAAAACATAAGCTTTTTATGTTATATAAAAGCTATATAATGATATATTGAATACAGTTTCGAATGTAAATTCAGAAATTATGAGTGGTATCAAACACATCACGGCGCGTTTGTCAAATTTAATTAATACTTGGTCTCCAAATTTATGTTTTGAGAACCAAATTTATTATTGATTTGTAATAATAATAATAATAATATCTTGATCCGTTAGGGATGAGCGGAAACGAAGTTTCCACTTATTCACATACGGATTTATATTATCACAATTGATAATACAGTCAGACATCCCTAAATGCATATTCCTTAAATGCATAGTCTCTCTAAATGCATGGCCTTATTTGGCCCCAACTTATATAACGATAACACTTATAGATTTTACCTCCCTAAATGAATACATCTTTAAATGCAAGATTTTTGGCCGCCCCTCGGCTATGCATTTAGAGAGGTCTGACTGTAACACAAAAATGAGAATCTCAAGCTTGAACACGGACATCGCAAGAAATTATTTCGTAATAACAACAACGTCCAGGTGCCGGTTCTAAATGGGATGGCAATGTATGAGGATGTTTATAATTATAATTTATCCATTTTTGAGGTGAATACCATATTTCCTGGATATATAGTTATACATTATTTTGGAATAATAATGTAATTGTTCGTCTTTATAATCAAAAGCAACAAGCAATTGATAGGTTCGAAGATTATGAGGTGGAATAATTATATTTTTATAATAAGTGAGGCTTGACCAGAAATATATTTTACAAGAAAATTATCATTTGTTTATATTATTTCTGTACTGTTGTTAAACATTTATGAATAAGTGATATTACAAATAAATATAAAAAAACTTGAACTACAACAAGAAACTTATTTTTTTCAATGTAGTGGTTGCTTCAATGGAGGAATAAAACATGAAGATCATGACTGCCGGCCCCTAGATCATAAGATGGCAGCTCCTTTCCGCGACTCCATATCAACCTATTTTATCTATTGTAGAATTATTACAACAGTGCTTTTATAAAATAAACTTTACTCGAAACTATTATGAAATAATGATGCTTTTACTTCTCACTTCTTCCCTTAGAAATTGTCACATTAACATTGCTTATATATTCCATCGGCTACTTTTTTTGATGGTTTGCAATATAGATGTGAATGATGATTACAAACCTTACATCAGGGCTAAAGATACGCCACTTTTCGAAGTTGCCGTAAACGGCCATATAAAAAACCCGGGTCTGTTACATTCCACAAATTTTAAAACCTATAGTAGACCCGGGGAGCTGAGAGTTTGTATAATAGAAAGTAAAACTTGAAATGCATGCACACTTTGCATTTGTAGCATGCAATCTAGAATCAAAATGATCCTGAGATCTACTCGTGGGTCTACTATTTGGGAGGATCTTTCATATGGCCGTTTACGGTAATTTTGCTTTTTTTTTTTTTTTTTTAAGCAAGGTATTTTCCTCAATTCCTTTATTATTTATTGAATTACATTTGTTGTTTACATAATTTTTTGGGGAAGTGGGTTTGAGCTACTTTACTCCAGACCTAAATCTTAGCTAGATAGGTCAAAACCCCTAGTCTATGAATCTAATATTAAGCGGTTTTACGGTAATTTTGCACTTCTTTAGTCTGATTTTTTTTTTTTATTAACCGAAAAAAATAATATAGCTGAAATTATCACAAAATATAAACCTGTGATTGATGTGTGGCACTTGTGTTTTACAAGCAAGTTACGCATAAGCCTTATAATAATGATGATTTTTATAAACGCGAATTTTTTAAGATTACGAGTATTCCCAGTATTAGTGTTAAAAAATTAAAATGAAAGTTGCTGGTGGCTTAGTGTATAAATGTATTTCCAATGTGCAGATAAGAGCAGAATGAAAAATAACAGTTTTATTTCTTGATGCCACAAAGTGGATTGTTACATCACAGAGACAAAATATCATTAGCCAATAGGCTTATAGGTAAAAACGCAAAATACATTATATCTTTCTGCTCAGCCTTGAAAATCACATTATGGGACATAGTAAATCATATGTCCAATAATGTGATTTTCAAGGCAAAGACCCTATTTTCATATTAACAAAAGAATCATCAACTTCCATTCTGTTCTTTAACAATCCACAATTATTTCCATAACAGTTTTCATTTCTTTGCAAAGTTTAGTATAATTCAAAGCCTTAAAATTAATTTCGATAAGATATCTTTCTGAGAGATATATTTTCTTTGTTGTATACATTATAAAATACCATTCATTGGCTACAATTAAAAAATCAATGTTAGCAAAACAATGTTTGCATGAATTATAATTCCTTGATAAAACCTACCAATAGTAAAAATGCCATAAAGGTAATCGTAATAATCTTTAAAATTTTCATCTGTATTTCCAATCTTATGTTTTTTCGCACGATGTTTTGTACGATCTTATTTTTTCTGTGAATCGTTTGGCTTCAGTTATGCACACCAACTCTTCTGAATCGCTATTTATTTTACTCATTCTAAATGCACAGTCAATTCTTTCCTCTGTTATTGCCTCTATATAGGAATCATTACTAATTAGTTTGTTTCTATGACATAAGATCAACATTATCTGATGAATCTAAACTAACCTGTTTCTTGGTAATTTGATTGGCAATACGTAGAATCCTGAAATATTATATCAATGTATCTAGAGTGTACAGCTTCTTTACAACCTATTAAAGGATCCATGTTATCTATCCTAATTTTAATATAATCTAAACATCGTGTAAATTTATGTCATTGTTCTCGATTTTTTCCCACCGTTTTTATTAAAAAAAGATGTTAAAAAAGTTGCTTATAAAGTAGGAACGTAGTCTTGTTAAATTCCTAAGCTTAAAATTTCTATTACAAGTAGGGATGGATCGGTCTTCGTAAAGACCGGGACCGGACTGTAAAAGACTGAAGACCGAATGATTTTTGGTCCTCAGTCCTGAATAGTCCGGTCCTGGTCCTGATTAAGCCCCCTAGCATAACCACCACGATCAGTTACGTAATCGCTGTTTAAAGTCTGATCTGAGATTTTACTTAACCTGATCTCATAACCCGACATACAAAAATTATTATCGTTATTATTAAATAATATAAAATTTTTATTGCGTCAAAAAAAAGTGTTTATTCGAAATTTGTTCGGTAAACAATTATTACCTAACTTTACATACTATATCATGGATTTTCAT